ATGGATGAAATTCGTAAAAGAAACTCATGATTGGCATGTGGGAGAACTAACCCAACACTGTGGAAGCTTACGTACCTCAAAGAACTAGGTTCTTGGCGAAATCTTGAATTTCTTGAACGAACACTTGAAACTTTGAACTTTTTCTCCTGTTGAATCTTCCCTCTAAAACCCTAAACACTTTGGAGATGAATGAAACTGATTCTAATCAATTTAGACCCTTAATTGGGTGTAATTCACGTTTAGAATAAGTGGGGGTAAGGAAAAGACTAAAATACCCCTCCCATTTTCAGGTAACTTTCCTTAAATGGACAACCTGACTTCAAAAGGGCATATCTCCCTCATACGAGCTCAAAAAATAGCAACCTCGGTGGCTTTAGAAAGAGGACTCAGATATTTTTCATTTGATGTCTTATGGGTTTCCTAACTTATCTTGTACTGAAAGTTATGGTCATTTGAAATTGACCCAAAACTTAAAAGAACTAAGGAATGACTTGAATGAATTCTCTTTAATTCTTTTTGGAACTCAAGGTGCTATATCTAGTGACCTAGCCTTAATACGTAAGAAATTTTAAATTCCTTGGTAAATTTTACTCACAACGAAGCATGGTTCGAGTCTTAGCTCAAAAAAAATTCCAGGGTGTTACATTAAGACTTTGTTATAGATCTGATTCATTCAGACTCATTAAGACCCATTAAGATGTTTTTTTTTTATTAAAAGAAACAAATGGGCTTAATGGGCTGAATCTTAATCATACATATTCAGACTTAAAAACCAAATGCACTTAATGGGCTGAATATGAATGATTAAGATTCAAACATTCATTAAGTGCAAATAAATGAGGCCTTACACAGAATATAATACCTCGATGAAAATGGTTCTTTAATATCATCCCAACTCCATACTAATTGGTTCATATGCCGTTGGGACTTGGGATCATACTGAAGAACCATTTCTATCAAGGGAGATTTTTTTTTTTTTAAAGTGTATTCAAAATAACCTCACTAACATTGGCTTGCATACACCTTTGTGATAATGAGTGTCATTTTAAAAAAACATATTTTCTTGAGCTGAGAGTCTCTTATAATTATTCTCTTTATGATAGATACTAATCATGTGTTTTCAATATATTATCTTAGATGTTATTGTAAAAATATTATTTATTGCTACACAAATTTTGAGTAGTTTAGTTTAAAGTTCTAAAATATTTATGGTAGATAGTTATTTTTGTTATATATATATATATACACACACACAAATTTTATTCGATTGAATTCATACGAAATTTAGATTAAATCCATGTTTATATGAGTTAAATGATTAATTTGGGCTTTAAAAATAAATAAGTCTATTTTTATTAAATTCAAGTCCAGGGTTTATTTCACATTGAAGCCCAAATCCATGTCACATGTCATAATGACGAGGCATCCAAGACCAACAAGTAACGCCACATGTCCAAATGAGGTGGTAGTCTCAGTCAAATGCAAGAACCAATCACAATCTGCCAAGTGTCAAAATGGTCAATCATAAGCAAACCTTGTCCACCCCCTACAACTATAAATCGGGGATGGACATGACATTCTGAAGGCACTAAAAAACACTTCAACAAGCATTGGAGCAAATGCTGGAGAAAGCTACAACATCATCTACATAACTCTTTGAAGGAGTGGTTGGCAGAGTTCTTCTCGGAGATCGACTTGAAACGAAGAATTGCTTCCTAACATTTCCGGAGATCAAACACTAGCTCTTCAGAGGAGTGGTCAACGGAGTACTTCCCGGAGATCGACTTGAAACGACGAAGTGCTTCCCGATGTTCTTAGAGATCAAATACATCTCAAGGAGGTCTACATCATCCTACATTCAAGAAATACGCTACTAAAGCCCTCGAATCACAGAGAAGTTTGGGAGAAAAGAATCAAGAGAACAATAGAATTGTACTCACAAGATTCATCAACAAAAATCACATTTTTCTTTTATTTATTTTGCTTGCAGTTAATTTTCAGTGCCAACGAAAATTTGTTGGGAATATATATATATATATATATATATAAAGAAATAATCATAATGGACGAAAATATAGACCATTTAAACTCAATTGGAAAAACTATTTCGAAGAGATACCACATGTTTGAAATGTGTTAGCTTGGAAAGTTAAGTATTGATGCTGTGTGATTGAGTAAAATAACACATTATTCGAGTGAGATATATAACACCCATTGTCTCAACCATTAGAGAGATTAGAATAAACTAAAGCTAGGTTTTTAATTGATGTGAAACACTATAACACACCAACATGGGTTGTGGTACACTGGTGGGAGTGTTTCACCATTAACGAGAGGTCTCGGGTTCGAGCCCTGGGTATGGAGAAAATCTTGTTGGGAGCGTCACCCCCGAATAGGCCCTGCAGTGCGCGATCCAGATTTAGTTGGAGCTCCAATGTGGGCTCCGAACACCGGGTGGGAAACCAAAAAAAGAAACACTATAACACGTAAGATGATATGATGTAGGAATCTTGGGGTATCCTAAAAGTCTTTTATTCAAGGTGAAGTGTTGACGTAAGAATGGTCATATAAGGTCATTTGGGATGACTTCCAAGCGGATGTCACACAACGTAACCTTCCGCGTTCAATAGACTACATGTGTATCCAATCCTCGAATGGTTTAATCTACACTAGTGTAAGAAGGGTTTAATCTATTTTTAAGTCATTTGACAGTCGAGGCAGACATTGTTTAGTTGAAGCACTGCCAAGAATCCTCTACATCGATGAATGTTTTACTGAAAAATAAACACTTACCAGCAACGTTTGTTCCAGATCATGGTTTGTATGAACATTAGATATTGCACGAAGAACACAATCAGAAGGAGAAAGCCCAAGCATGAGACTACATATGATCGGTCTAAATTCTGAAACTCTGCCCTTTGAATTGTCCTATTCACCAGTCAAGAAATTACGTCAAAACTTATGATAACATTTTCTTTTTTGCTGAGTTTCTCAACCCTTTGACTTAGCAATAGTCAGTTTTATTTCTCGATGGGGGTAGGCAAGGGATATAAATTAGTGGTAGAGTGTCACCTTGATTAGCTCTAAGCTCAATGTGAATTTTTCTCTATAATTCTAAATAAAATTATGAATTTTGTATTCAAGTTGAAATATAACCTCATGTTCAGCAATTCTCTTCAGTTCTGCATCTGCCATGTCCAATGATAGAATCTGTAGCAGTAAGTTTCCCTCCTCTGGAATTTCTTCATTTGGTCCATAGTACTTCTTCTCAAATGCATGGTCCATATTTAATGCTCTTAGGGGTCGTTTGGTTTGAATATGAGTTATGATGGGATAAGTTATGTTGGGATAAGTTATGTTGGGATTAGTTATGATGGGATAAGTTGTCCTGGGATTATTTCTTATTGAGTGTTTAGTTTGTTATATTCAAAATAATATATATTGATAAATTTTAAGAACAAGTTGTTTGTTTACAAAATTACCCTTCACTTTATTTAAACTTTTTAAATATTTCTTTGTGAGCTTTAGTTATTCATTTTTTAAAATAAAATTTTTATTTTATTTAACTTAAATATTTTTGTTTATGTATTCCCATGATAAGTACCATGTGTATTTAAAAATATAACTTTTTTCTTATTTAGCTTAAAAATAGAACTTCCCTCTTAGATTTATTAAAGAGAAGAAAATTTATGAGAAATCAAAATAAAATAAACATAAGAATTAGTCAAATAAATTCATAAATAAAAATTATATTTATATAGTATAATTTTTTAATAGAAAAATATGTATAATTATCATAAAAATAAGGAGTAGTAAATATTATTATACATGGTATTAAAAAAA